TCTTAATGATATGAAACAGAAAGCCTAGCCTAATTGTTGAGACTAATTAACGTCTACTCATGACGGGGAAACAAATTAATGAGCTGGATCTATAATAATAATAATAATAATAATAATGGCTCTGGTTGGTAGATCCTATATCACTGTCTTATTACTTAAATAAGAACCTCAATCTGACCTATCTTCCAAATAATAGTGCCCGTCAAATAATTAAACGATCATTGAATTAATATTATCTTACGACATTACAAGACATATATATATATATATATATATATATATATTTCCTCTAGAAAAAAAAGACATATACAAATACTAAAAAGCTATATACATAATACAACGCTAGTTTATATAGGTATGAATTTATAAATCTAAAAAGATATGCACTGATGGATGAATTTATAATTTTTTTTTTATAATTTAGAAATTTACCAGACTTTTAACCCGACTAATTGTTTCAGAAGAGCGAAAAAACCCATGTGAATACCCCTCCCTAAGTAAGAATTCGAATCCGGGTTGGAAAGGAGCTTTGTTCCTTGCTTTACGGGTTGAACCACTCAATTTTAGATAAATGATTGAATTATTGACGATAGATAAATTTATAAAATTTTATCATCCAAAAACCAATAATTTAATAAAAATAGAACGTGAAAATGAATTGCGAATTCCGCTCCTCTCTTTTTCCAAATACTGTAAAACAGTTCCAATTTATTATTGTGGTTCATTAATTTTATGTATTTCTATTTATTAGTCATCTAAATATACCCCTTCGCCAATGAGTTTATAACACCAGATTCATTTGCTGCTAAATTCCTCAATAAAGCATGAAAATATCGCAGCAACGAATCAAATCCATTTTTTTTTATCTAACATCATTCATTATTTAATATAAAAAGATGGAAAAGGACAAATCTTTAAGAAGAATAAAATAGAATAATTAAACATGCGTGGGATCTCAAAATATTGGGGGCAGGAAGTATATATGTATAGTTTTTGTGGGTCATCTTTCTTTGGACCATATCTACATTTTATACGTAGACATAAAGTGGAAGAAAAAACGTAAAACCCTTCGTATTCGATCATTAATGTGCGCAAAGATTAAAAAAATACCCAAATTTTAGATAGTTTAATCGGTGAAATGGATCGTTTGTCCTGTCACGAATTCGAATCTCAGTTTGAAGAGATGACGTATATTATAAATTATATAACTGATTCCGATCTCAAAATTAGTACGGATCTTGATTCATTACACTCGTTACTCGTTAGTCTAAAAAAAACTCAATGTGTAATTTCTTTTTTTTTTGTTAACTTCAATGTGTAATTTCTCATTAGGAGTAATCAATATGTAACTTATAAGGTTGATCACATTAAATGATAAAATCATCGAGACAACTCTTAATTGACAAACATCCGAATGTGACTCTCCTCGCTTTATTTCTTGTGGATAATTTATTCCTTTTCATATGTATATCTAGTTCCATCAAACCTGTTTATAATTACATGAATAACCATGCTGTACTTTTATCTAAATTTGGATAGTTCAACCGGTGAAATGGAGGCAAAAATCGTCTGTTCCGCTCAGAATTCGAACCTCAATTTTGGAAAAAGAACATATATTTCAAATCATTTGTGGTTAACTCTGGATCCTAAAATTAGTTCGAACTTGGATTTATAAGACACGATTACCAAGAAAAAACATGTATTTTTTTTTGCACCAAATCATATTGTACAAAGTATATATATATATATATATATATATATATATATGTATGTATGGGTGTTATCCAAATTGAAGGGGATAATAGTAAATATTAGGGTTAGGGTTTATTTCCAAGTAAGGAAGACTTTTGTGTGATTGGAGAAAGAGTGACGGATGTAACATTCTTTCGTCGTAAACCAATAATTCGCCTCTGCGCTTCTTAATAGCAGCCTTCGTTCAAATCCCAATTTTTTTTATTTTTTTTTTGTCTTCATTCAGTGGTTCTTGATTCCGTACTTGTTGAGAATTGATTAATACAACTTCTTCTATATATGACCCGATATTTGACGCTCCGTTTGGGCCTAAAGTTTAAGACATTCAATACCCGAATGAACGGCTTTCCACATACTTCGTCTATTTTAGATTTTTTTGTATATATATATAATGAATCTCATATATAGATGATGACAGTAAGAAAAAAGATCACAAGACAGTTGGGGTTTCTATAAATACCCACATAAACAATTTGAAACCGAGGACTAATAAAATGGTACAGATACTTTAATTAAAATATACATTACACCTTGGTGTATTTCTACCAAAATATATAAATCGATGACGTGCCAATAACATGAACTCAAAATGAAAAGTCCTTCACTTTAAAAAAAAAAGACAAAGGGGGAGATTGTGTGCGATAGACACTCATATCATATAGAAACAAATGCAATGATGTTTGTGTAGGGGCAGTGAAAAGGAGGCTGAGGTTGATTGAAGAAGAAAAGACGAAATGCTAACTATGGACGATGACAGGGCACCACGTGTCATTCCCCGCCCTCTCACGCCTCGATCGATTCCTATGATCCCTTGGATCATGCATCCTAAAATCTATTATTTCGAAATGATTTATATATTTCACCCTATGATTTCACAATGATTAATTTGACCTCACGCATGCATTGTTGAAGTGAAGAAAATAATTTCATTTAATACAACTACTCCATTACCATATACATGTATATATAGTGCCAATTTTACTCATTGTTCCTCATATCAATATATTTAATTTTGTAATAAAAAGATATAGATATAGATGTGTGCGTGTGTGTGTATTTTCACAATTATCCATGGAATATCTCTGTTATCATATACTCCCTCTGTTTAATTATAGATGACGTTTTAGAACAATTTTTTTGTTTCAAAATAAATGACGTTTTCCGATTTTCAATGTATTTTTTAATATTTTTTTTTCCAAATTTACCCTTAATTAATAATATTTAAATATTTTGCAAGCCTAGAAGTAGTAATTATCTATGCAATAAATAAGGGTATTTTGGTTAAAACACTATTTTTCTTAATTTGTGTGTAATATTCTTAAACGACATTTAAAATGAAACGGAAGGAGTAGTTTAGTTAAAATTCTTCTCTCAACAAGATTTTTTCTCTAACAATATTGTTTCCCAGCCAACATGCAACATTATTAATATATAAATCAAGTTGTCTTTCCTTCTGTAAACTAATCAATACACACAGATATATATATATATATATATGTGTGTGTGTGTGTAATGTTTTATGTAAGTAATTTCTTACATAATCGAAAGACGGAAACATGAAAATACAAGTCGTTTATATTGCATATACACATGCGCACCACAACCAGTACCGTTTCGACCGTGTCAGGATTAATTGAAATCTTTCACAGGAACTTGATCATTCCTCATGTATAATGATGATGATGATGATGATGATGATGATCATTATTTTTTTATTGTAAAAAATAATGATAATAATAATAATAAGAAAAAATGAAAAAAAGGAAAATGACACTCTCTCAATGATGAGTCACGAGACAGGCCATGATTTAAGATTTTGTGTCAATTTCGTAGAGTTTCCAAAATAAAAAAACAAAAATGTTTTTGTAACACATCAAAAGATTCGGATTGATAACTTAGGGGCGTGGGAAATTGTTATCTACAAGTAATAAGCATCTCATACATACCCTCGATTGTGATTGGCGATTTTTCATAACGCATCGACCCCCCTACTACTATTATTATTTTAATGACTAGTTTTCTTTATTTATATATAGAAATGGTACTGAAAGATGACCATTAAGAGAATATATATATAATGAATCATATAGAAGCGAAAAAAATGAGCATTATTGTACTTTTCCGGGTGAGAACAAAAATATCACGAGAGATGTGCATACGTGTCCATGTATGTATACGATAGAATATACGTACAAATACAATCCTCTATGTAAGCACATACGATATATGCATATGGAACAAATGCAGTTCTATAAAACAGGATCTCAAACGAGCTGTCCATGTAAGTATTAACATAGCCTTCGGGGAAACAAGACATAAATACCGGCCATTAATTTTTGTATTAAATGTAAGATGCCGATTATATTTAGTTAGGGCGATAGGATTTGAAATTTATGGTCAGTAACGTAAGGGATTCTGTTGTAGGTCGCATATTCCACAATTTATATCATGGTCAGAATAAAGTGAGACATCTTAATTTATAAAATCAACAGACGGAAGAATCTTCTTTTCCGAAAAGCAACTTTTTTATTATTAGTTTTTTTTTTTTCCTTAAAGATATATATAACGCACAGAGATAAGATAAACGAAATGGTTCGGTTCATGGATTTAGTTTTTTTATTTTTATTGCGTCACGAAACAATTAACGCTACAAAAAAGATAAAAAAAAAAGTTAACAGAGTTGGATGTGATTTTGAAAATGCTTTTTTTTAAGAAAAAAGAAGATAACAAAGGTTAGGATAAAGTATATAAACATATTCAACCAAAAAAAAGTATATAAACATATAAAATCTACCTTTTATTTATTTATTGTGTTGTTTAACATAAATGAGCGTAATATATAAAGGTTGGAAATTTTTAATAATATTGGGTTATCTATCAATTTCTATATATAGAAGCAAGTAATACGCCAATATATATCAATCATCTCCAGATCATTGTTACAAAAACGGACACCAAGCAACTTGGCATGCTTCCTTTTCCGACACCTGGAGATAACACGAATACACATGTTATGCTGATCATCACAAAAGGGTCAGTTTGATTGGGAGGCCGCGGAAACTTTGATGCGAGATTCTGATTTCTACTCTATTTTTATATTCCCCTACTCTCTGTCTTTATACATATATATATATATATAAAATTTTTGGCGCCGCAATGCTCGTGGGTCCAATTCCTTGAAATATACAAGGGCAAAAAAAAAAAAAAAAAACGAAAACAGTAGGGATGGTTGACTTATTATTTATACATGTATGCGTCTGTATGTTGATAAATGAGAATGGAAACCCAGGAGAGACAACATAAACATGGATAGACCGTGATCCATGCATTGAGATATGTACGTAGAGCATATATATCATCAAACACAAATGACCTTATAGCTTTACTAGCAATTGAACCAACCGAAGAAACGAATAGGAGAAGGAAAAGAGCATAATAACCTAATTATTAATACGATCATAATCCACCCTCTTGACTCTCCCCAATGATTCTTTTTTTGTGTTTTTAAAATTTATCAGTTAGGAAACTTAAATCTCTTCGGTTTTATTGTAAGATAATGGTGTTTATTTACATCGGAAATTGTCTGTTACTATTTTTTTTAATGGAATTCTTTTCATGTGCTCCGCGTTTCAATTCTCTTCCGAAAAATGAAGCTGTGGAAGTTTTTGTTTGTTTTTTGTTTTAATGTCGGAATAAAAGTGTAAGCAGCGATTGAGGTGAGGGGGTCCAAAATCACGCCGCTAAATAATGTCAATCATTCTCTGACTAGGAGCTTAAATCTCGGGAAGCCATGGCTAATCAGACACGAAACCTTCTCCGGTCGTTTTGTCTTTTATTATCGAATTACTTAGTTACTCATCCATCATATTATTAAACCTTCTCGAATTTATATATATTAAATTAAGCAAAGCAGCCAAAACAGAAATAATTTTCTTAGTACCAACAGAATGACAGAAGAATACCCAACACACAAGAAAGGCAATAAACAATTTACTTAAACGACTACTATTATATTAAATATTAGCGATGAATGTCCGGATTCATGCCGAATTGGTGCATTATCATCCGCCGCCGGCGTCTATTTAAGCCGTTATTATAATGTAATTTTAAAATAATACCACAGAACTAAACAAGATTATCTTTGTACGGCGACAAAAGATCTTGAATGGCATATTCCTAAAAGCTGCGAAGCGACCAAACTAAGATCAAATTAATAAACTATTATTATTCGTGAATAATCCGACGTAAAATCTACAAGTTCGGAAAGCCATTCTTTGATGAGCACTTGGAAAAAGGATTATATTAAAAAACGACAAAACAACGACACAAGACTTGCCAATCAGACAACCATAAATATACAAAAACGAAAAAGCAGTAATCAATGTCTAAAGGTACAAAAGGTTTCAGAACAGCAGAACCAGAGATGACATAGAAGCTAAGAAATTGCATAAAGGACCTGCACCTGCACAACCATGGATGGCATCAAATGCTAAAACACGTCGTTGCATTCATCAGTACTTAGGGCCTGGTTTCTGGGTCGGCAATAGACCAAACCGTTTCTTCAGCAACACTCTCTGCCTCGAGTATTTGTCATCCGGGGAGAACCGGGCTGTGGCAACAGAGGAAGAGAGTGTGAAACAAAAACATATCAAGCCATTATGTACGCAAACCAGCTCATAACATCTTATACGAAATCGGGAAGGCTATCTGTATTTCTTGGCAGAATGTTCACATACACGTTGCAAAATGTGGCTGACCTATATACGAAAAGATACACAAACATCGAGCATTTGGGTGTATACACGGCTAGTCTCACCTGGATGGGCGGATTGAGTGGCAAGCCCCAGAGGCGACTCCTTCTGCATGATGGAATTGATCGATGTTTTTCAGTGTGAAGCAGTAAAAAGAAATAAACAGACTCTGAGAAGTATAGAAGAATCAGCTAAGAGGCAAACTGGGCAGATGCATTCCGCATAAATCAAGAATGCCTTTCCGCAGAACAAACCGGAAGATAATAGCTAGAATCGGCTCCCTCCTCGTCTAGAATTTCTATTACTCTATAGATTCCTTGGAGAAAACTAGCAAAGATGAGGCGATATATGCGAAAACAGCTACTCCAACAACAAGAAAAACCCGAATGGGTCTCAATAAGACGATTTACACCATTTCATTTGCAAAAGTAGCGTCTCTCACGTACTGCGAGCGCCTTATACAAAGAAACAGATAGGATGGTGCCTTTCTTATTGGGTATTCTTAATGAAGACTATAAAAAGCTTGAGCCTTTTCACCATTTGCAGAGACAATGTTCTTCTCATGTAACAAATTGCGATCCAGAAAAGATCACACGACGGGCTTTCTTACTGTGTACAGATACAGTCTACAGAGACTGAAGTAAACCATAAACAAGAAAGAAGAAACAGACATAATTCAGATTAGAAAAGGGAAGAACAGAGAGAGGAGAGCAAGCACCTTGGTGGTGTACACTTTGTCACCTTTCTCATTGATATAGTACTGAAGATACATCGTATATATCGACGAATAGCCCTGTGGAGGTGAAAAACATCAGTATCTGCGAGAATCTCTGATGTCTTGTCTGAGAGACATAACATAGATCTTAAAAAAAACAAACATTGAGCCATGGGATCATACCTCCCTCACAGATTGAGCTCCAGCTCCAGCTTCTGATTAGGGTTTCTCTCGAACAGGATTTGGGGTTTCGGCTACAAGAAGTCGATATATTTAAAGGCCTTGAGAAAATGGGTTTAAATCAGCCCAATTATACCCCTTAGAAAGCCCAAAACTAAAGGGGTAATTTGGTCCACTACAAAAATAATGACACGTAGGCAAAATAAAAACCTATATAAAAGGAGCGACCAGCATGAGTCAGTCGAGAGAATCACGCTGAGCAAAGTAGCAGAACCCGATCCTTGTTCATCAATTCCTTCCATATATGCACCACAAATGTGCATATACATATAGGCATGTCTTCGTGTCTGTGTAGATTTGTGGGGTACAATAAATCCAGGCAGATTTTGGCGCTACGACAATTTTGTTTTCGCCTGGGCTCGAGAGATTCACGGTAATTCGATTCTTTGTTCTCCCTTCATTTCTCTCGTTTTGGTTTCGGCTTTCGATTGAGACCTCTGCTTCTCGTTTCATCTCGCGATTCCTGGGTCCTGCTTGGGTTTGAATCCCGTATGCTAAGGTGTTCATCGTAGATTATCTGGATTTTAAGGGATTTTGATCTGTATGAATCGCATTTCAATCCGGTAAGTTTACGTGATTCTTTTGCCGTTCCTCTGTTAATTTTCCAGGAAAATCATTTTTTTCCTCTTTTTTTTTTTTGTGATTCTATCGTACACAATGCCTCTGGGTATATCGAATGCATGACCTCCCCGTTTATGTTTATTTGGTCATAACGAGGACTTTTCATGGTCTGTTTCATGTTGAAAATGGAGTCAGTGTCATTTTTATCGTGTTTTACTTCATCTGGATTCTAGTGACGTGCTTCAGTTTCATCTTCTTCTTTTTTTTTCCTGCAGAACGACAGTCGCAATGCCTTTCTTAGCCGATAATCAATATGTTATGAAACGTCGATAAGGAAGACAATACATGTGTTCTGTTTACCTGTTAAGATAAAGTAAGTATTGTCCGGGTAGGGGTATGGATTCTGCAAAGAGTTGGTTTCAGAAGCGGCAGCTGAAAGATAAGGTGAGTGGGTCAAGGCAAAAGGATGTTTCTGCGTGCAGTAATGGCTCGGTGGAAGAGCTGAATGTTGAAGCTGACAACGAAGAGTCTATGTCAAACACAACAAAGCAGAAAGTTGCTGCTGCAAAACAGTACATTGAAAACCATTACAAAGAACAAATGAAGATTTTGCAGGAGAGGAGAGAAAGGTATATGTATATTCATATGCTCTTATGGCTGTGAAAAATTTCGTGAGTCATCTCGCTTCTGTGGCTGCAAAAGCCCATTAGTTATGCTTTCCTTGATCTTAATCTCCATCGTTAGGTGAAATTTAAGTATGAGTGAAATGAAATGTAGAATCCAATGCAGATTGGTGGAATTTCAGCATGCTTTTGTTATTTGTTCAGACGAAACATGCTGGAGAAGAAGCTGGCAGACGCTGATGTCTCTGAGGAAGATCAAAATAATCTTCTCAAGTTTCTAGAGCAAAAAGAGACAGAATACATGCGCCTTCAACGTCATAAGTTGAGTGTTGTGGATTTTGATTTGCTTACAATGATAGGAAAGGGTGCCTTTGGAGAGGTATACTTTTCCTTGAAAGCAGCTCCATTTCTAGTTTCTGGGAAGAAACTTTCGAGTATTAAAGACATGTTTCTGTTGATGTAGGTTAGGGTTTGTAGAGAAAAGGTCACAGGCCATGTATACGCCATGAAAAAGCTCAAGAAATCAGAGATGCTCCGTAGAGGCCAGGTTAGACCCTCCTAATACCTCTTTAGATTGCGCCATTGGTGTTCATATCTGTGATCAGTCATTGCAACGTTTTTTGTAATCCTTTTCTTTAAGGTTGAACATGTGAAAGCAGAAAGGAACTTACTGGCAGAGGTGGACAGCAATTACATAGTGAAGCTCTACTGTTCGTTTCAAGATGATGACCATCTTTACCTGGTGATGGAGTACTTGCCTGGCGGGGATATGATGACACTGCTGATGCGGAAAGACACCTTGACAGAAGATGAGGCCAGGTTTTATGTCGCAGAAACTGTTCTGGCAATTGAGTCTATCCACAGACACAATTATATCCACAGGTTCTGCAATATATCCAAACAGGATGTGTCTTTTTCTCCCTCTTCTGGAACAATATCGTTGAGATCATCTTCTCTCTCTCGATTTCTGTAGGGATATCAAGCCAGACAACTTGCTGCTGGACAGATACGGGCATCTAAGGCTGTCGGATTTTGGTCTGTGTAAACCATTGGACTGCATTGTTATCCAAGAGAATGAATTTTCTGTGACAAAAAATGTGAATGGAGCTACAGAGCAGGAAGCCTTCTCAGTTACTCCAAGGCGCTCACAGCAGGACCAGCTAGAACATTGGCAGAGGAACAGGAGAACACTTGTCAGTCTTCGAATCCATTTTTGAGCTTTAGGGTTAACTGTCAATGACTGTGCCCGGTAGATTTTTTGTTCTTTATGCATCTGTTTAACACATGAAACCACAGGCTTATTCCACCGTTGGAACACCAGACTACATTGCTCCAGAAGTCCTAGTGAAGAAAGGATATGGAATGGAGTGCGATTGGTAAGTGGCAAGGCTTTTTTCAGTGTTTTTCCGGCTCCCTCCCCCAGAAAATAAAGTACTATTCAGGCAGTGCTTTTTTTCTTTTCCCAACTTCAGCCTAGTGAAACTCCCCAAACTGCATATCTATAGAAAAATCTAGGTTCGCATTCACAGTCTGTTAAAATGTTCCAACCATCTCCAAAACAGTATTCTTATCTGTTACACATTGCATGGGACGTTGATACAATTTGCTTAATGAAATGATCCATAGGTGGTCTCTTGGTGCTATCATGTACGAAATGCTCATTGGGTATCCGCCATTTTATTCGGATGATCCCATGTCAACGTGTAGGAAGGTAATGGCTCAAAACAAACTCGTAAAAGGAACCGCAAAACTAATGGAGGATAAGAAGAGAGCTCTGTTTTATGACTCATACAAATAACCTTTGTGGTTTTGGTGCAGATAGTAAACTGGAAATCTCATTTGAAGTTTCCTGAGGAGGCAATATTGTCGCCAGATGCAAAAGATCTTATCTGCAGACTGTTGTGCAGTGCCAAACGGAGGTTGGGTACCAATGGTGCTGATGAAATAAAGGTGTTGTATGGTGTGTTCGTATAATGACGAATTCTTTATGCTTTCTTGATGCAGCAAGTAAAACCGTCTATCCTTGAAATTTTATGGTCATTTGTTTCTGTTGATTTTCATTTGATATGCTCTACTCCGCATGATTTAACACCTTTCTTGTTGATTATGCTTGGCAATTCCCGAGGAATTCTGTCGTTTGTGAGTCAACATTATTGTCTCTATTTCCCTTTTCGGTATTAAGCAAGTTTTGTATGCTATTTGTTCTATGTGGGTGATTATTCTTGATTTTAAGTTTTGAATCTTTCCGTTTCAATGGAGGAGGTGGTTATGCATCAGTTTTTCACTTTAAGTAGGATATAAAAACGTGCAACGACATTTCGTGGTTTGGAAACGTTGATTGGTATGATATTTGTGGTCTTTTCTCCAAATCAAGGGGATAACACGCTTGCATCATGGCAGGTCCATCCATGGTTTGGAAACGTTGATTGGGATAACATATTCAACATGGAGGCTGCTTTTATTCCAGAGGTCAATGACGATTTAGATACTCAAAATTTCGAGAAGTTTGATGAGGTAATCAGTCTTTTACTTGACTATTGCTCGAGCACTTGATGCATTTGAGAAACAGAAAATAATTAAGAAACCGAAAAACAGGACACATAGATAGAAGGATCAACAAAGATCGTTATCATCTGAGCTAGAAAGGTTCAAGTAGGCACAGTTTGATAAGGTTTAAGTTGACTAAGCATTTCCTGCATATATCTTACACATATCTTCCTCGCACTTGTTTTTTTCTTACATGTAGTCGGAGACACAGGCTCAGACATCATCCAAGTCAGGTCCATGGAGGAAGGCAAGCAGAATACCTTTTCTTAAAAAAAACTGCACTTCCATGAAAAGATTCATTCAGCGCTTCGTTTTCACACGGCGTTTTTATTTTAATTCTTTGCCCCACAGATGCTTTCGTCAAAAGATGTGAACTTCGTAGGCTACACGTACAAGAACTTTGAGATCGTGAATGATTACCAAGTACCTGGAATGGGTAAGCATTTTCTTTTTTGGACACATTTTGAACTCAAATGGCAAGAAGAATTCTGAACTGTTTTGGGGGTTGTCTTAATATAGCCGAGCTAAAGAAGAAGAACAAGTCGAAGCGGCCATCAGTCAAGTCACTGTTTGGTAAAACACTACTCTTCCTTTTCCGCTCAAACCAAATGAGCAAAAATGTGACTGATGGGAAATGTGACGTGGTGGTTCAGATGAAGGATCGTCGGATTTGTCGGAACCGAATGCGGAGTCAGGGAGACCTCATGCCCTCGGAAGCTTCCTGAATCTTCTGCCGCCGGAGTTGGAAGTGAGCCTCAAGCAGAATGAGTCAGAATGCTGAGAGACGCTTGCAGATAAAGAGTTTCTCTCTGTTCCAAAGGAATTGGACCACCGCCCCTCTAGTCATTCGCTCTCTTCTTCCTTGAATATTGTTGTTTTTGTTTTGCCAAGAAGGAAATATCAGGCTAACTAAGACACGTGCAGGGAGAGTTTCTTTCGCTCCAAGGAAAATTAGACTCTCGAGACTTATTTTCTGTGATACAGTTTCTGTGTTTCTTTTTCTCCTTTTAATCTGAATGTGGATATTATTCCGACAAACTTTTATGTTTTAGGATCAGTTTTGTTCCGACTTACGAAACGAAAGTCGAATTAACACCACATTCCAATTACACTCACCATACAAACTAGAAAACTCACCTTTGTTAAAACAAAACCACATTTACAATAAACACGGCCTTCTAGCCGGTAAAATTTTTGAAACAGATACAAACAGTGAAACGATACAATTAAAACTGTAAAAAAAAAAATTAGTACAGGTAGCGTTTTACGATTCATTGTTCAGTGCAAAAATGTATATAAAGCGAGATCAAACTAATTTATTTAACACAAAACAAGAGCATGACAACCATATGGAAGAAATCAAAGGGCATAATGACCAAATCAAACAAAACTATGTGAAAGCATGCGTAAACAACACAGGTTCCGTGATGATTGTTGGATGAAATCACAGGGCATAAATAGTTTTAAAAAAAACATGCTCTCAAAAGATACCAAAAAGCAATAAAGAGAACGATTGAATCAGAGATGGTACAAACCAGCAAAATTTAACACAGACGTTCTAAACTTAACCATCTCATCATACTAACGAAATCCAAATCAGAGTTGCTGAGTTTCTAATGATTTGATCGATGACAAACTTATCAGGCGGCACTCTCTTTCTTGAGCTTCGAAAGCTCCTGTCTAACAACACCCGCCCTCTGCACATAAGAAGAAGCATAGATTTTGTAGTTAAGATCAGTCCTGTCTTGAAAATACTCGAAATCATAAAGTCTTTCAGCTGCATATAAAAGGTATCTATCTACTTGTATTACCGTATGACAATCATAAATAAACCGGCAAACATCAGATGCACATTTGATTTTATCATTTGGATCAGTAAAAACAACATTAAAAACCGAAGAGCGCCTCATCATTTTTTTTGTTCCTTCCATGCATAGTAAGAGGGCAAAGGGCAACACAATAAACTCCATTTTACCAACACCGTTGTCCATGAATTTTTGGAACTTAGGAAGATCTAATCACATAGAATGCCCTTTCACTGCGTTCAAAATATGCTCGCCTTCGACTACAGAAAAGGGGATTAGAAAAAATATCTAAAGAAAAGAGTACTGACCTTGATTTTAGCCAACATGATCTTGAACCTGTCAAAATCATTGAGTGAAGCCCTTCTCTTCTGCACAATCAACTTCCTACCCCAGGAACTGTTCTCCCATTTGTTTTTCACATCTGCCAAAAATTTTCCGGTTTTAGATTACCTGACAATAACCCATACCAGCGTCTCAGAAGTAAAGAATAACAGTCACCAGCTTTATCCATTGCTTCGATCAAATTCTTCTTCTTAGGCACCCTGTTGATGTCGATCTTTATATCAGTCAGAGACAACCTCTTCAAGTTCATTTGTGTCCTCACCATATCAGGGGCATCAACCAGAGCCTATAGATGAACAAACATGAAAAATTCAAGAAAACATAAGTGTAAGCCATGCGGCAACACAAACAAATGCCTAAAACGCATCAACAAATGATGGAATCTCAAAACAAGGGAAAAAAATAGTAAAACTCGTAAATTTATTTTACAGGCAAAACAAGCAATTTTGTCAATTACGAGTCTGCACAGTATGGTCACCCTAGTCCTTTCCTGGAATACTGATCAACCGAATCACAAAGACAACACATTGTTTCCCTAAGAACAGAAGTAACTAAAGGCATAAACAGATAAAATTTACAAACTTTGGAAACCATTTCCATGTATGGCCCCTTACCTTGAGCGCATTTAGAAAATAAAATTAAAGGTCATGGACACGATACCAAAGTTGCATCTACTTCACATCGGTTACAAGACAAATCAATACGGGCAAAAACGACGCAAAGGACAGCTAAGCAAATGGAATTACCCTGTTCTGGTCGACGACGTCGACGATCACGACAAGCTTTCCATAATCCTTTCCGTAGTTGACCAGAGCCACTCTTCCTATCTCCACGTACCTCTTGAACGCCTGTCCACACAATCACAACCTCGTCAGATTGAAGGTTGATATGGAAGCATAACATGATAAAAAGGGTAGACATTGAATATATGAAATTTAACAAATCGAAAAATTAATACGAAATCCATCAGACATGTGGTGCGAAACGTCGGAGAGAACGAATTCCGGATTCGCAGGAAGCTAGGAACATCTGGAGAAAAGAAAAAAAGATATACAAAATCGGCGGTGGTGTAGCAGTAAGAGAAACTCACCATTTCCACGGATTGGCACAAAACGCTCGGAGCTCAGAGAGGAAAGCGGACAAGAGGCAGCTTAGCTAAGAGAAGAAGGCTCCTAGGGTTTGCCTGAGAGGAAACATAGGTACAACGAAACGAAGCAATCAGGGTTTAACTATTTGGGCCTCCTAATAAGCCCAAATCATATGGGCCTTTACAACACGATAAGCCCAGCAATGATTAGGGCTCTACACTTCGCGCCTAAATAGACTAACAAAACCCATATGTTTAGGGCTAAAAAGCCTTGTGTGCTATGTAATGGAAAATCTAACATATTTCGATTTTTTTTATTATATTTTGGTTCGACCATTTTTAACTACAAAATGGAAAATCTAATGTATTAAGGCTTTTCTTTTTTACAAACGGAAATTACAACAGTGGATCATGCGCTAAATATAGGACGGTGCTCATATATAGAACCAGACAGAATAAACAGCAGTAAATAAAAAAGATAACCTGGAAAATAATCTCATCCTTTCGTTTTTTTTTTCAATTGAAATACTTTCTGTTTATGGTTGCTGATTCTAGAGAACATAACCATCGGATTCAACGGCAAATTTGGTTCCAAAAACGTGTTTTTGCCGGGAAAAAAAACACACACAGAGAGGAGGATGTTCTTCCTTCTTTTTCCCGTCACCGCTCTCCTCTCTTCGCCCACCCCTCACGCGTCCCATCGTTTCATTTGTTTTCTTTCCGTTTCTTGATTTTACATTTTACTCCTCTCGATACGAAATCGAATGTTTTCTTTTTGGGATCATCATCGAACCTTTCTTGTTTCTCGGGAAATCCATTGATTTTTATTTTTTAAATCCAAAGTTGCAAATTTTTCTCCGTGAATCCAAAAAAGGTTACATTTTTTTTTTTATTAGTTATTCTCTGTTTGGATTTCCGGACACAAGGTTACATAACGGTGGTCGAGACGAATCCGTGTTTGTTTCTCGGGAAAATTAAGGAATTTTGAGCGAAAGCTACGATTTTTTTTTCCTTCTTTCAATTTTTTTTTTATATCTTAGTTTTACATTCTTTAGTTCTTAAGAGCAGTTCTCTTGTATATTTCACATACAAGCCCCCACGAGACAGAGAGAACAAAAAAAAAAACACATATTCGGTTTATGGATTTTTGAGCTAAAACGTTTTTGTGTTGTTGGTAACATAGTTTCTCGAGCAAACGAAAAAAAAAAACAGAGTTATATGCATATTCATATACAAAGGGAACAATGTCAAGCTACAAGATGAAAAGCCTCTTGAAGGGGCTACGTTACATTTCTCAAGTCTTTGGTAAGTTACTCCTCTCGGTTCATTTATACATACATATATATATATATATATATTCAATAATTGATTGCGTATTAACCAGCATGATAAATCATTTGAAAAACACAACATCAATCGACATAATATATGTTTGATTTTAAGTATGTCTTTATCTAGAGCAAACATGTAAAACATGGGATAGGGTCGTGTTTCTGTTTTTTTTTTGTCGTAGAATCCCAAAAACAAATTGATGATGAATTGAGTAAAAAATGGATACAGAGAGTGAAAAGGAGCCGGAGATGAAAATCGGGAATCCAACAAATGTAAAGCACGTGGCCCACATTGGCTGCGACGGACCCTCCGCCACTGCACCCAGCTGGGTATTCCTTCCTTGCAATTACAAACGATGTCTTTTCATTATATTTCGAGATTTATTTTATTTTTATTTTCAATTCAAAATACTAATAAATAAAAAAACGTGGTTGGTGTGGGAAGATGAACGAATTCAAGGCTGGGTTTGGAGCGGCATCAAACGAGATGGTGGGAGGGGAGGAAGACAATTACTCAGCAAAATGTATGTCGGAAAGTGGGAAGACGAGAGACGTTCCGAGAATACCGAAATCTACGAAGAAATCGGCGTCAGGCTCCCCGACGAAAGACCGACCCGACAAAACGAAACGACGCTCCTCGAACAAAGGAAGTTCCGAAGAGAAGGGAAGATCGTCTCGCAGATCCAAGGACGCGTCCGGACAGCAGCTGCTCGACCAAGATTCTTGGTCTCGCCACAGCAGCTTATCCGAGATTCAGAAAAAATCCAAACGAAAGAAATCAAAGGACTCTGTCGGCGGAGGCGGAGGCGGAGGCGGAGGCTCTTCGAGATCTTCCAGAAAATCTGATACAGATACCATCTCAGATTACATGTCCGAAAATGGTTCCGTTAAATCTATATCCCAACACCATGAGGAGAGACGGGGGTTTTGATTATTATTCTTAATACAATCTTCTAGATTTACTTACACCGTTTCATTTTTTTTACATATATATATATTTTTCCATACATCGGAAG